CCTAAGGGTGTCCACCCTCTCACATTTTTTTATTCATGTGGAGTCCACCCCATGTGAGATGGTGGACACCCTTATGTAACCCAAATTATGTACAAGTAGTGTTTTCCGAAGCCCAAAAAACTCCCTAGCACAATACCTCCGTCGTATGACGTCAAATACCTCGTACTTTTTCAAACTGGGTGAAAATCACATACCTTTGAGGTGCAAAAGACTCCCATGTTATTTAATTTTCTCAATAAAGCACTGTGAAATGATAAATATACCATCATATTTAAATAAAATAAAATAAAAAGAAGAGAAGAAGGAAAATAAAAAACTTGGTGCTTGTTCTCTTTACCATTTTCAAATCGTTTTATGTTTTCGATTTTTTAAAACAGTGAAAACACGTTCTCTTTCTTATTTTCAAAAATGCCTTTTTTAAAATAAGTTAAAAATTTATAAAAAAAATCCAATTTGTCGTTTTTGGTGTTTTTAGTTATAATCAAGTCAAAATTTTCAAAACGCGTTTTGGGTGTTTTCAAAATACCAAAAAGAACACATTTTCAACAATCTCAAAATGGACACTCAAAACACAAAATCCAAAATGAATTCAAAACTCAAAACACAAAACTGAAATACAAAGAGAATAGCCCTAGGGATTGTGAGATTGAATTTCTACCGCCTGTGGTGGTGAGAAATTTATTTTTATTTTTAATTATTTATTTGGAATTCGTTTGTACTTTTTCAGAAAAAATTGATATTATAGTTGAAAATTAGTTCATTATTTTTTCTTCTTTTCTTTTTGTTTATTTAATTAGGATGGTACATCCGACATTTCACAATAATTTATTGAGAAAATAAAAGAAAATGGGGGTGTTTCGCACCTCGAATATTTCCGCCAATTTGAAAAGGTAGGTGTCCTGTGTCCATACCACGGAAAATATTGTGCCAGTAAGCCAAAAACTAACATCATTCTTAGGGAGACAGTGGAGGGGGGTATATATACACACGATTACTGTATATATCTCCAGCCCATTTTTCCGTTCTCGGGGTTTATTTAACCCAAGAAAATGCTCAAAAAAAGAGCTCTGTCTGTCTGCAACTGAACTTCTAAACAAAAAAGTACTATGGAAACTAAAAGCAGACAAAAAAAGTAAAAATCTTTCAAATAAGCCTGTTTTTAAAAAAATATTGGGAATTTAGGGAGAGAAGATTCTCTGGCGTAAGCTGTAAACGT